CGGCAGCCACCCCTCCTCGACCCAGGAGCATGGCAGCGAGCTCTCCGTCCCACCTCGTCTTCCATAGTTCCAGCACCACCGCCTCGGGCAGCCACCGGTGGTCTCTCAGCTCGTTCCTGCTGCCCGATCTCCTCAGCACCGCGATCCCCCTCAGCAGCGAGGGCTCTCTGACAGCGTGTCCCTCCTTCCTACACAGTTCGTAGTTCGGGAAGAAGGAGGCGGGAACCGGCGAACGTTTAAATACTTTAATAATAAAATAAACAAAACAAAACAGCGCCCCTCGCGGACGACTGTCGCGCACAAACAAAACCAAAACACAAAATAAACTTCAGGCCTGGTCCTCTCTCATCCGACACTGTCGTCACTCCTCCCTTTTATCCTTCCGGAGCTCCTCCGTGAGACTCGAGACCGGTCAGTGGCGCAGGTGTCGCTCATTATCAATTACTCCACCGGCCTCGCTCCGTTCCCACGGCTCTTGGCCCCGCCCCCACTCGTCACAATGTTTCACTGCTTACAGTGTTCATTTCAGCTGTAAATCATAGTGTGTATGTAAGTTTGTTTTTTTGTTTGTTTTTTTCCCTCCAATGAGCCAGTGTTGGAATTGCCATGAGTGTGTTAAAGTTGTCTGATATGGGTCTCTTTTTAAAATGCACTCATCTCAAAACCAGCATCTGTCTCACACACATTCACAGCCATACTCAGACATGCACACGGCTCTCAAATGTTCCCTCATTTCACACTAACTTATGAGGACGAATAAGGGAAAGACAGAGGGAATGAGGGTGAAATATGGAATATGAGGGGGAGGACAGCACTGCTCTTTTTACGGTTATGACTGTTGTCATATTATTGGAGGTAGTCCAGGGGACCTATAGGTTCTTGTTGGGGACACAGAAAGGCCACCAGAACACTTGTTTGCTGACACTAGTAACGATCCTTCTGTAACTCTTGACCTCCTGCAGCCGTTATTGTATTGTTCTCTACTCATCTCATCAACACCGTAATTCTTCCCCGGAGGATCATTGAAATGCAACTAGCACTGGTGATACTATATAACTTAAATCAATATTGTGAGCAATGTGCTCATTTTAATGTGCTTTTTATTTGGCTAATGGTTTTATTAAAACATTAAATATTACAAAAATTATTACTATATTCATAATGATGATTAATTGGTCCATGTCTGGTCTGCCATAATTTTACTCCACCTATCTCATTGACAGTGTAATTTTTCCCCTGAGGGTCATTGAAATGAAACCAGTTCAGGATGTCCTTCCTCCTTTTCTAATCTCTCTTCCTCAAACCAATTGGCATATTATTAGAGCTGAATGACATATTGAAAACCCCTGACGTATCTGTGATGATTTTGCTGCTATATAAAATTAAGCACACTAAAAAATTGGGTCCCATTTTATATTAAGTGGCCTTAACTACTATGTACTTACATCAAAAAATAAGTACAATGTACTTATTGTGTTTATATTGTATTGCAAAAAACCTTTGCTGCTATTGAGGTGGGATATGGGTAAGGTTAGGGACAGGTTTGGTGGTATGGGTAGGTTTAAGGGTGGGTTAAGGTGTAAGGGATGGGTCAACAGTGTAATTATAAATGTAATTACAGAAATTAATTACAGATGTAATTGCATGCAGGTATTTTTAAAATATAAGTACAATGTAAAAACATGCATATACACAATAAGTGCATTGCACCAAATTATTAATTTAAATGTAAGTACATAGTAGTTAAGGCCACTTAATATAAAGTGGGACCAAAAATGGTAACCTAAAAATGTCAACATCTAAATTAACTGGTTTTGAAAATCAAAAATTTTATTTAACATCACTGAACCAACCTAAACATTAATTTATACCAGCAAAACCAATTTACTTGGACAAAATCAGGTCGAAGAACCTCTTTAAGGTAACAATTGCCGGTTACAGCTTTTTACAGTGCACAATTTTAACTAGATTTTAGTTCAACATTTAATTAAAGTAGTAAGCAAGAATTAATTAAATAAACATGCCGAATTTAACTGGCTAATAGAGCTGATTATATCATCTCATCTCATATATATATATATATAGAGAGAGAGAGAGAGAGAGAGAGAGAGAGAGAGAGAGAGAGAGAGGTACATTTTTTTGTATACCACCCCATCCCTACATCAAATAAGGTGGCCGAAACAGACCCTGCTCTGTCAGCTGAATACTTTACAGCCAGTAATTGTATTACACGGTTTGATTGGGAACTGTTGTGGAAATGAACAGGCAACTGCAGGGCCCTCACAGTGCTTCACTTTGACATAAGTGCCATCTGCTGGAGGCAAGAGACCACTATTCCACTCCTACCGTACAATAAGATGTGGACTGCGACAGACAACAGCTCCCAGGCCAGCACAAGGGCGATTAAGCTGTTGCTCTAACTCTGTTTTAGTGATGCAGCCCAGTGTGCAATAGTGCCACATCTGATAGGGATCATGCTGACATAAACATCTATACAGAAACACAAACTCAAGTGTTCCTTCTCTCTTAGATGAGCTTAAATATATGACACGCTCATCCTGTCAGCATTCACAGCATATAAATGTAATATTTTATCCTTAACATTTGTGAATGCCAAGAAGTTGGTTGGTCCATGATACCGGGTGTATTAGTGGAGCCGTTGTATCTGTAACTGTAGTATGCTTCAATCAGAAGTGAGTTTGCATTGCCCCTGACCTCTTTTCAGGTGCCTACATAGTGTCTTCCACCTCACCATTGCGGACTTGGCCCAGAATACGGAATTAGAAAGCAACTCAGACGTCTTTTTTAGTGTCTTCTCTCATCCAAAGACTATTTTTCCTCAAATGAGACCTCAAAATGTCGGCCTGGCCCACAATTTATAAGCCTGGTGGCGAAAAAGAAAATGAGTCCAAAATGGTGTACACACGCTGTTTAGAGATGTAAGTAACTCGGTGACCCTGTGTCAAACCCAATGACAAACTTTTAAAGTAAAAATTTTACAATGAAAACTGACAACTGTGGTTGTCTGAAGTTTATGGGAAATAAAGTGACAATGTTTCAGGCATTACATAATGGCATTTTGGCAACTATAAACTATATATTTTTTATACATTATTATTAAAAAATGTTAAATGCTAAAATGATGCTAAAATCTTGCATCATTGACAAACTATTTTCCTGTTAGACTCTGTAAAGCTGCTTTGTCACAACCAGTATTGTATAAAGCACCATACAAGTAAAAATATAAATAAATAAATAAATAAATAAGTGAACTGATAATTTTAGATATGTTGTTTATTTATACATTTTACATTTTATTTTTAAATAGAATATATGTCAAATTGTAATTATTTCTGGAAAATCATGTGACATCGAAGACTGGAGTAATGGCTACTGAAAAAATCAGCTTTGTCATCACTGGAATAAATTACATTTTAAAACATTTTCGATTAGAAAACAATTATTTTAAATTGCAATAATAATCATGTCTGTTTTAACTGTATTTTTTGAGCAAATAAAACATATTTTGAAGAATGTTTTTAACCAAACAATTGCTGGTAGCCATTGACTCTTATTCTGTTTGCAACTGTTTGCCAACCTTTTTCTTTTGTGTTCAACAGAAGAAAGAAAATCATACAGGATTGGAACAACTGGAGGGTAGGTAAATGATGACAGAATGTTTATTTTTGGGTGAACTATGCCATTAAATGACGAGTAGCTCAATTCTGAAGGTAGTTTAAGTTATTATTAGGCTGTAAACGTCCTTGTCAGCATTGAGCAATTAGCATGAGGCAACTAGCCATGGATGTCTGTCTCGTTTTTTTTTTTTTTTTACACAGCCACCTTGATAAAATGACAATGTCGCTTTGCTAATGTGACGGAACAGTCTGCATGCAGGTGAGACACACTCAGTCTCTTTCCTGTCCTCATGTTCCATGACCTGCCAGTAAATACAATGACAATCTGGTACAGCGGGCTTTAAACCGTGATGGGCATCTCTCCCACTCAAGATGATGAAAGCGCTGCGCTGCGACTGCTCAAACAGAAATATGAGGCCCGAGCTGTCTCACACACACTGAGCGAGATTCATTCCATCATTTCTCTTCCTGACTCTCCTTCAAGATGAAGTCTGACTCCAGCTGTGATACCAACTCACTGCCTCTTCTCTTTTCCCCCCCTCCGTTTCAGTCTCTCTCTCTTTTGACATGCACACAGATTTCCTTTACTGTCTCAGACTCACCCACGGTGCTCGCTGGATCGGGTCCAGATTGGAGAAGGAAGGGCGGTGTATGTGGGTCAGGATTGAGGTCCTCTCCCAGCTGAGACAGAGAAAGAACAAACCGTTTCTCCTTTACCCTGTGCTGCTACTCCTGCCTTCTCTTATCTTACACATGTATACACACACACACACACACACACTTGCTATCAGGCTTTAACCAGTAGTGATGTTTCTGGGAGGCAGCGTAACTTAATGAACACTTTTGTTACGCCATCATACTCTTAATGCAAAATTTGTGTAGGAGTTGCAATTATATAGAAAATCATATGAAATCTAACACATCTGGTTTCACTTGACAATTCTGCTTTCTTAAAGGGGTCATAGGATGCTACATGCACTTTTACAAGTTGTTTGAACTGAAATGTGTGTTGGCAGTGTGTGTACACAACCATCCTATAATGATAAAAATCCACCCAGTGTTTTTTTTTTTTTTATCTATTAAAATCAGGCCCCTCCCACGATAGTTTGATTGACAGTAGCGCCTCAGCACAGACTGGTCTGGTGTCTTACCTTAGACCCGGCCAAAGACGCAGTGGATTACGTTTGTTTTTGAAGGGAATGCGCCCCCGATCTACCTAAATGCATCTATGTTCACGCGAATCATTCGTGATCCAGCTTCACCTACAGAAGAAGTGAGTGTAAGGTTTTTTAATGAATCTTTGCAAATCGCCTTTCCTAATAATGTGCTAATTAGCAAGTTTCACGATGAATGCGGCTAAAGTAAACAGTTTCTCTGAGAGCAGCTCGGAAGAGAGGGGCGGGGTCAGCAGAGCTCACTGAAAAGAGCTATTTTTGACAGGGTAAAAAAGGTGTTTTACACTACCATTGAGACATTTTAACCAAACTATGTTACAGACTTTTCATTAAGACCCTAAAGAATCATATCAACTTGTGGAAAATGGACATCCGATGATCCCTTTAAAAGTTCCATAAAGTAATATTTTAGTACCACCATATTTGTAAAAGTGCCTCGAAATGTGCACCATAAAAAAGTCAAATTTTGACAGTAAAATTTACAGTAAAAACCATCAGCTGTGGTTAGACTGACAATGTTTCAGGCATTACGGGATGACATTTTCGTAACTGTGCCATATTTTGTACACACACATCATCATTTAAAAAATATGCAAACTAAAACACATTTTTAAAAAAATAAAAAAATAAAAAAGTGTAATGATATTTTTAACTATACTGCATGGTTAACTATATTGAATTATTGATACATATATTTACATATTTACATTAAAATATAAAGAAAATATTGGTTAAGAATCTGTTAAATCATTTAAACTGACAGTTTGAATAAGTTTGAGACAGAGAATCTAACTAACAATTCTGGTTCTTAAATGATTCCATCAGGGAAGCATTTTTAAACTATAGCGACAACGGAATAGTGGAGGAAACACATTTGAAGAATGTAGAAATTCAAGTACTGTTAAATGAACTAAACACTGTGAAAGTCTTTGATTCTGGTATTTTATTTAAATTCACACACGTTCTGAATACATTTTATTATTATTATTATTATTATTATTATTATTATTATTATTATTATTATTATTATTATTATTATTATTATTATTATTATTATCATTAGAATCAGAGTTTTCATTTAATGTAATTATCCAAGTAATGTTCTCATGATGTGTAATCTAAAATGTATTTTTATCTACTGAACCTTTCAAAATAGTGGAGGAAATCCTATGATTGGCTCAATAATTTCACATCTCAATCACATCACCGAACTTTTGCATGTATTAAAGTGCCCCTATTATGCCATTTTTAAGGTTACTAATATTGTTTTATGAGTCTCCAAAAACTGGTTTACATGCATGCAAGGTCAAAAAACACGTTAGTTTTCTCAAAAACAATTATTTAATTTTACCTAATTTCTAAATGATTAAAGTGCCCCTATTATGCCATTTTTAAGGTTACTAATATTGTTTTATGAGGCTCCTAAAACAGGTTTACATGCATGCAAGGTCAAAAAACACGTTAGTTTTCTAAAAAAAAATAGATTTAATTTTACCTAATTTCTAAATGATTCGTAAACGACTCGTGCGAAGCAGTTCAAAGAATCAGTCTCTCTAAACCCCTCCTTTCTGTGAGCCCTCACTGCTGTGATTGGTCAGATGGCGCAGTCCTTTGTGATTGGTCCAGAGCCGTAGAGCGATTGGCTCTGGATTGGTCTACCACGTACAGCGCGTGTCGGAAACGAAACATTGCCATGACGGAATGACAGCCCTGGAGACTTTGTCAATACATAGAAAAGATGGTATCGATTGTACCTTACCTTACGGAGTCTGATGATGAAACGGTCGAACTGGCTGATCGACAAGAGACTGATTCGCAAGCACAACTGGAGCAGGACGTTTCTCAGTGGTGGTAAGTGTCAAGTGTTAACAAGTTTGTGGTAATTATAAGATGTGA